CTATACTTGTACCATGTGCTATGAAAAGTCCCACCACTAAAGAACAGCGGAGCCTGACGAATTCAGTGAAACTCTGTGCTCTGTATTCAGAAAAAGATATCAAACCAGCAACCAATAAACGTCAGAAACCTGAAGATGAAATAGAGTAAGTAAGCAATCTCAGTTCAGTGGTGAAAATAGTGAATGCCAAAAACACATTTTCAGTGATTTCTTGAAATCCACTGGTTCATTAAAATAATATATATATATATATATATATATATATATATATAACATGTTGTTGGTTATATCTTCTCTTCGTTTTGTTCAAGAACTCACATCACATTCAAAAGAAAGCAACCGAAATGGCTGCACGAAAGTACAAATTTCAAAGTTGTTTAAACTAATGACAACAATTTATTTATTTTCTTTCATAGACCAGCAAATATTAGTGAATTGTAACGAAACGTTTTATCTGGTACGGGGCTTTCCTAACAATGCTTTATTCGAGGGGAAAAGCACATTGATTTCAACAATTGTCCAGATAGACATTGCATTGTGTTCCTGATCGAGATTGCATGTTCATAATCTTGGTTCACGGCATTTACCCCAAGGAACTCCACAACATAGTTACTCCGAAACTTGCATACCTTTTTCACTTTGTAAACACTTCTGGATGGTAACCAAAATCGGTGACATCATTATTGAAATTTATTGACATTTTATTTTTGAGGGGTAATCTAGAGGTTTTTTACCTAATGTAAAGTTATGGGAGGTTCGCAGCAACACAGAGTGTGGTTCGCTTCATTTTTTGTTCCGCTAATGAGGATTTTAGAATGTACATTCTGCTATCGGGGGTAGCTGAGCTGATGTAGTTTCCTCTGACGGCCTCTGTTTTACCCCCTGGACCAAAACAGGTACACACCTAAGAACTATTGAGGGTTCGTTTCCTCTATTACATGTGACAACTGTAGATACGGATCTATTAGAACATAGTCAGACATTTCGCTGTTGGCGAATTAATTCGGTGCCCAAAGTCCAAAATACGCGGTGGTTGGAAATCATGATCATGCTTCCATGGGTTACTTAAAACAAACAACGGTGATTTTCCCTGTAAGCGATCAATAAAGTTACGCATATAATTAAAAAGCAGGCTGATGATGCCGTTGAAGTCAGCGGTGCTATAAGAAAAGGTAGTCTCTAAAATGCCATGCATACGCGACATAGGTGGAAGCAAACACGTTGCATGATGAGTAGGTGTTATAATTTATGTAGAATAATAATACGTTTATTCTCCTGGACTCCTTTTGTGCATTGTTCAGCCTTTTAGGCACCAAGTTCACCAGGTTTCAGACTTAGGCTTTCAGTGTGCGGATTTTCATGAATGTTATTAGGCCACCTAAATTGAAGCTGCGTGAGTAAATTTCTCGTCGCTTTGATGAAGCATAGGCAGATGATCACACACGCTGAGATCGAGACTGTCAAGCGGTCACTGTACAAGTTACTTAAGGAAATGCTCCGTGTCGTCTTGGAGGTTCAATATCAAATAAGTCAATCATTCGCTTCTAACAAACCTCCAGTTAAACACAACCGGCATTATCTTACAAGGCCTTCGTCCCACAGCTACCTTTGTGTCTGATCTGGAGTATTCAGACGACATTGAGCTACTAAGTAAAGCTCCGGGTAAACTGTAAGGTTTTCTGGTTTGTCTGAGTATCAGTGTAGCTATGTTCGGCTTGCATTTAGAACC